ATAATAGATTGCTTCGCCGAGCGCAGCTGGATACGACCGCAGAGGTCCAACCCTGAACAGTTGGGGCAAAAATGGACGCAATATTTGCGCTTGATACAGGTCTGAATTTGGATTGTAATTAAATATTTGACACATAAAAGGTTTCTGACACAGAATAACTGTAGTCAAAGAACTTAGAATTGGTTATATGATTTGAATTTATATTCAATTTTTTGCTTTTGTGCAATACACTTTGCTGTTGCGAATTGACCCCCCCTTCCCCCACAAAAAAAAAAAAAAAAATGTACCCCCCCCTTTTTTTTTTTTGCTTTTGTGCTATGCTGTTGCGTATTAACCCCCCTCCACACACACACTTTTTTTTGCAAAAAAAATAATATTTGAATAATTTTTCTTTTTAATTTCTGAAATCTGAAATGAGAAAAAATTGACCCCCTACAATTTCTTTTTACCCCCCCCTTTTTTCCCCAAAAAAATTCTTTCCCTCAAAAATCTTTTGGAAAGAGATATTACACACAGGTGTCAATATTTACACACCTACCAATAAGTGGTCATAAATCACAAAAGTTGAAGCTGTGGTTAATTAACGGCCAGTTCAAAAGTCAAATCAAGCTGTGATTAATTTCCCCACTAGATAAGCAGATTCAGTAGCAATATAATTATGTTAGATACTTTTTTGGTGACCTGGACTGGGGGGGGGGGGGGGGGGGGGGGGGGGGTAAATCCGCCACTCGACCCTGTTAAATCTGCTAATATTGCATGCTTGATTTACGTTATAGATATTTCATAGTTTTTAGATTGTTTTTCTGTATATCGTAAATTATACCATAGTTATTGTTTATTACGTGTTACGTCTTTTAGTTTATTAATTTTTGTATCATGGTGACCAACCTCTTCAGTGGCTTTGTTGAATAACAGATGTATAATTTTCGATATCTTGATATTAATTCTTAACTTTCATTGTTTTTAAAGACAGAGAAATATAAAACCTAATACAACCTTAATGTGTCAAAGAGACAACAACCCGACAAAAGAGCAGAGAACAGACGATGGTCACCGATGGGTCTTCAACTCAGCGAGAAAATCCCGCCCCGAAGGCGGGCTTCAGCTAAAGCCTAAGCAAAATTGTGTACTAGTTCGGTGAAAATGAACGTCATACTAAACTTCAAAACATAGAAATGAACTAAAATTCAAATCTTTTTAACCATATCCGGAAAAATCTAATGATGAGGGAAAAAAATGGAAGAGAAGAAATATTTCGGTAAGGGAAAAAAGTACATTGCAATACGAGACGTGAAAAATAATGAGATAGTCGTATGATATTTCAATAAATTTTATACTGTATGGCCATTTAATGGAGTTGTCGAATCTCTTTTATTATTTGTTTCAGTAGTATAATGTATATGTCTTTGGTTTCTGGTTATACTATATGACCATTGTATGGAGTTGTCAATGTCTTGTATCTTGAATTATATAGGTCTGTGGTATTCCTAAAGATCATCAGATAAGTAATAAGTTCTATAAATAAGAAGATGTGGTATGCGCATGATGGGTTCCAATCTATGTGCCAATGAGACAACTCTCCATACAAGTCTCAATGTATAAAAAGTAAACAATTAAAGGTCAAAGTACGGCCTTCAACATGTTTTCACTATCCTTAACATAAAATATACATGCCTTTGCTTTAGTTTTGACAATGCCACATCAAGTGGTATTCGTCTTCAATTCTATCTTGCATAAACACTCCACAAATATTTCATTTCCAGATGTATTGTTATATCTTCTTTTTTCGATTCAAATGTTATAAACGATTTAAGCTTTAAAAGAATGATTCGATTTAATTATAGGTTTATCAACATAATGTGACTGTTTCTATATCTTGACTATTTCGAGGAGAAAAAAACAGAGAGAAAAAATAATACATTTTGTAAAATGATACTCATGTAGGTTTTGATTTGAAAAGCGTTGATGCAATTGGTTAAAAGTTTTTTGATAGTAAAAAGAAAGAAGCGAAAGATACCAAAGGAACATTCAACCTCACAATATAAAAATAAGAAGATGTGGTATAATTGCCATTGAGACTCTCCACCAGAGTATATATTGGGTGCCAAACTCTCCCCTAACATGGGACATTGGTGTGCTAGCAGACAGAAAGTCACAGCTGACAGAAAGTCACAGCTGACAGAAAGTCACAGCTGACAGAAAGTCGCAGGACAGAAAGTGACACATTTGATAGGACAAAAACTGACAAATAATTTGTTAACAATTGTTTGAATATATAAGAGAAATTTCTGGAAATAATTTCTTTATAAGACATATATCAATTTTGCAGTATAGGAAATTGTTCATAAGCCTTGATAAATGAAGATTTATAAAATTGTAATCCTATAAAGAATTTATTGAAACCATTTTAATATCACGTTACTTTGACAAATTTTTTTCTTAAGAATTATGTGATCAATATTGATTTTTTAAGAATAAATTTTGTTTAAAAAGTTGCTTTTCATGTAAAAGTTCAAGAAAATACAAAAATGATTTTAAGAACAAGTGTTTTTATTCAAAGAAACATAATTGTGACGGTCTGTCCGTTACTTTTTGTCTGTGACCTTCTGTTCTACATTCGTTTGCTTTAGCTATGTACATTCATTTTCCAGATTACATCACAGTTAAAACGAAGAGATTTTGTCTAAACGAAATGAAACTCATTTAAGAATAAAATGTTAATGTTCCCTGCATGAGGCCTTCAAAACCATTAGTACAAAAGGACAAAATCTGTTGCTCGAGAGGCTATTATTCTTATATATTATACCTAGATTAACATACTCAATTTTGTGAGAAAAAAAACATATCTCTTAACGATTTAAATGAAGGTTATTTAGTCCTGAATTTCCAAAATAGTTCTGCATGTTCTGTTACTATTTATTTTTCGGACAATTTTTTTTTTATTTTTCTGATTTATTTCTTTTTTTCTTACTATACATGTACGAATACTTTTACCAAGAATTTATATACAGATATAGTATGATATTAAATCCTTTTCCGTTTGAGCCAAACAGTCATAACTAAAAAAAAAATGGTAATATCTTGGACATAATATATTATGCTATTCCCAGATAATATGGAATAATAATAAGAATCCGATATAACAATGAATCAAGTTGTACTTACACTGTTCTGTACCATACAATAAGCAGTAACAAATGCACAAACTTTGTAGACAGTGATCACAAAATCGAGAGTCAGCCACGCTGGAATAAGTTTTACCGCGCTCTGCAATGAATCCATGGTGGAAATGATGTTGTGTAACATGATCACCAGGACACCTACTGAGGGTTAGGAATGGTCAATTAAATAATTAAAACATGTGTCAATAATTGTCAATAAACAGACACGAACTTCCTTTATATATATATAGGGTGTCAACATGTAAATAATTTAAATATATGATATTATAAATAATTGATTTATAACCTAAAAACCCAAGCAATATATTTAAAAAAAATACACAATATTTTATATTTTTCGTCCATTCATTTAGCAATGGAGTAACAGTGTCTTTCTTCGATAAATTTACAGTATCTGTTGGTGTTTTTTTAAACACCCCTTTTATGACGTAAGATTAAGCTAATCTTTAAATTATTTATATTATGTCAATAATCATTTTGAAACCGATTAAAAAATATATAGTACCTTTGAAAACTTAATTTACTGATTTATTTTTCTTGCGAATGAATGGAATCAAACCGAAAACTTATTTATAGATGACTGAACGATTCTCCACATTAAAATCAGTCACTGTGTACACTTTTTTTTTTATCTTTCCATAAAATATGAGTGTTGTACGACATATATATGAGGGTATATAGATAGTGGTTTACAGAATAGAGAATAATGGCCGAAAAATATAAAGAATCTGAGAAAAAAATGAAAGACATAATTAATAGAGAGTATATGATTTTCTAGAATATAAAGAATTGAGAATTATGGACAAAGCATATAAAGAAAAAAGAAAAATGGCCTTAAAGATTAAAGAATACAGAAATGTAGAGCCCCTATCCAGACCCTCCTATATGACCGGTCGTCATCATGAAGTGGCCGGCAACAGACTAATTCACAATTTTGAAAATTCCATGAATAGTTTAAATTAGTTTCGTCATGCCACTATATGTCAGTATCACTTGAAATCCAAAATGGTCTTACCATGGAAGTGTTATATATGTTACAATACTTGCATGGTCTTATATATATAAATAACCAACTTTAGACTGTTCAGAATTGAACTATTACATATTTTTAGTGTCGGAGCCTTTTATATACCCTTGGAGCCTTCCTCTGAAGATGTCAGTATAATGTTAATCTCCTAGTTATAGAAGTAAAATTGTTAAAGGGGAAAAATTGAAAAAAAATAATAAGGAAGGGACATGTAGCAATTAAGTCTATAGCCGACTATACGGTATGGGTTTTTCTCATTGTTGATCAAAGGTCGTATACGGTTGCCTATTATATATATATAATTGCTTAAATCAAGGATTGGTATAGTAAGACTACTACAGTACAAATCCTTACTTAAATCCACTTCATTTTAACTTTGGTGAATAGTTGTCTCATTGTCAATCATATCAAATCTCCTTTTTCATATAATTGATTTAAATATGTTATCCTTTTGAAATAAAGGAAATCATTATTATTATTAAATATTCAGTGGCGGATCCAGAAAGGGGCCCACTGACTGCCTAAGAGGGGGCCCGCTCCAGTCATGCTTCAGTGATTCCCTATATAATCAACCAAATTTTTCCCACAAAAGGCCCCCCCCCCCCCCCCAAATCCGCCTCTGATATTGATTCTGTTTGACGAAGTAAATCAGCATATAGGCTATTTCAGAACAATGGAAACCCCTTTTACTATTTATAGCATATAACACTATAGTTATTTACTATAACTGGTAAAGGGGGTTTCCATTGCCCTGAAATAAATATGAGAATTTAACATGTTTAAATGGGGAATGGCCAATTTTGAAAATAATCTGATAAACAAAACATAGATTTTGCGTTTATTTGTACGACGCTATTTTAGAAGAAGAAAAAAAAGACGAAATAAGATGTTATTGTTACTGATATTGTTATTCCAGATATCTTATCGTATGGGGATCAGGTCAGTAAACAGATTTGTATCGCATGTAAACAACAGTGATATATCGGGGACTATAATCAAGTTGAGATAAAAAATACACATTTAACTTACTTCCTTGTTCACTAGAAGTTGTACAAGTGAATTAAAACCTCATTATATGCTGACTTTTAATTTCGGGAACAAGATATATTAATAATTCATTTCTACATAATGACATGATTATGAATACTTCATTGACACCATATTAAAAGTAATTCACAGGAAACGACGCGCTTGGTCGCCAAATGGAAGTCCTTGAAAAGAAGCACAAGCTTCCAAATTCGATTGTTTATCAGTGACTTATTGCACACAAAGACGTATTAATAAGAACAACTAAAATCACACAGGAAAAAATAAATAAATTCAAATTCAATCGTAAAAAAGTATCAACATTTTGGGACCAATCCATCTAACATATTACCCATCGACCGACAATTTAAGACCTTCGAGAATGCCATTGGCATGTGCATAAACCCGATACGTATAGGTTCTTAGGGACAGGACAATTTTTTTTATCCCACCCCCTTTTTCAAAATCAGTTATTCTTTTGTTTTCCATTACTTTCAATTATTTTCGTATTTTACTGTATAATATGAACATAAATATACTAGTAAAAACTTGTATTTGTCATTTACTATCAATTCAAAGTTTATTATCCAAAGCGGTCACTGAATCAGATATATTATATTATATTAGAGAGACTCTCTATAATATATCAGTGACGTGACTGCTGTGGATAGTAAACTAAATAATAAACCAAATTTATTATTTGTTGTTCCCATTATTGTGAATTTTCCCCTACATTCTGTAAACTATGAATTTCTGGATCACAGCATGCTTTGATTATTTTAAGTTTTTATCTTCAATCACTTATCGGGGAAATCAAGATAAGTGGATTTACTGTCCCTGTTATAAATCAGGACCGCATACGGCTGCTCTCATTTACTTCATTAGAACCGAAGCGGTAATATAGAAGAAGAGAACACACTCTGCTTGATATAAAATTAGCATAAATGGAAAATGATAAAAATATAAAGAAACCGACATGTTTATCACCAACTTAATATATGCCTTCTGATGTACCAGGCTGTTACCGCGAACAACCCTAGCCTAGTGATAAAAAGAATCGCTAAGCTAGGTCACGTGATTGAAATCGGTGACTGGGCTATTAAAATATAGCCTCCTTGGTCCTACATTAGACCTGTTGGTAAAGTTCTCACATGCATATATTCACATTGTCATTGGAAATATAAAAAAGAAGATGTGGTATGATTGCCAATGAGACAACTCTCCACAAGAGACCAAATGACACAGAAATTAACAACTATAGGTCACCGTACGGCCTTCAACAATGAGCAAAGCCCATACCGCACAGTCAGCTATAAAAGGCCCCGAAATGACAATGTAAAACAATTCAAACGAGAAAACTAACGGCCTAATTTATGTACAAAAAATGAACGAAAAACAAATATGTAACACATAAACAAACGACAACCACTGAATTACAGGCTCCTGACTTGGGACAGGCACATACATGCATAATGTGGCGGGGTTAAACATGTTAGCGGGATCCCAACCCTCCCCCTAACCTGGGACAGTGGTGTAACAGTACAACATAAGAACGAACTATAAAAATCAGTTGAAAGAGGCTTAATTAACTCATCAGATGGATAAAATTACAAATACTACAAATACAAGTGGACGTGGCCGGGTACTTGTACATCCAAACAACGAAAAGACACTAAGTACAGATCTGAGAGTACTCGCAGTTACTGACAGCTAGTTCAAAGCCACTAACAACTAATAAAAAAAATCATGCATCTAAGACTAAATTATCAATCCGTACACATCCAACATCCAATGGATTTAGTGTGAAGGCTATTTAATTGGTGTACATCAAACATCAGCTTTTATACAAATGTGTACGGGTTGTTTCATTCTCAAAAGATATATACCATGGAAGTAATATAATATAATACTTCCATGGATATACTAACTATTGAATAACTACATGTGTATAGTAAAAAATACGTCATAAATTTTGAGGTATGATTTACCACCAGGTAGACAATTTTATTGGAACTGACTGTCGTCTTCTTTTCAATTCAAAGTTCGGTTGATCCCTCCGTCTTTTTCTGCCAATAAAATCTTGTAGCAATCTAATTAAAATATAGATCTCGGATTTCGTTATACTACGTTATACTACATACGAGGTAGTATAACGTAGTATAACGAAATCCGAGATCTATATTTTAATTAGATTGATCTTGTAGCCACGACGATATAGCCAAGAGTGCTGGAAGTTACGTTAAACACCACAACTTAATTAATCAATCATTCTTTTTTAATGATTTCATTATTTTGTTTCATTTTTTTTATTGCAGCGGAGCAACAGTCTGTCCAGATGACAAAGCGTGGTCCAATAGAGCAAAAACATTTTGTTCGTCGACTCCTCGTGATTATCATTGTATATATGATATAGAATGTCAACTTATAGAAGATTGTAGACCAAGTCAAACAAATGATAGGATTACACTTTACTTTGTTGAACAAAATACTGAACTATTCAACATTAAGACAGTGCCTGTTATGTCAACAAATAGTTCAAATTATCACAAACTGCAATATATAACTTTATGTAGGAGTAATTTGAATCATGTTCAAAATTCATCGCCTAGTAGGAAAAATGATAGTTATAAGATATGCTGTATCGCAGAATCTGTTATACTTGGTCTTTTAGTAATAGGAGCCATATGGAAATATAGACAAATGCAATATCAAGAGAGTGAAGCAAGTAGGAAATTAATAGAAAAAGATTGTGAGATAGAGAGATTAAAAAGAGAAAACTGTGATTTCAAGGAACAATTAGATCAGCTTAAAGAAGAGAAAAACTATATCGAGGAACAACTAGTACGGCTCAAAGAAATGAATGGAGAAAAGCCCGCCGTCGAAAACCGCTTTACGCAAGAAAGTTCACCAGTAAGACAGACATTTGGAGATTTTCAGGAAACTGAAATCTTAATATCATAGATAGGATCATTTGAAAAATGAAAATACGAAAGCTAGTTAATTGGTTGGTTGATTGGTTGTCTCTCTGGTTGTTTGTTGATTAGTTGGGTACATTGCAAGGAGTGTAAAAGTATTTCCGTGATTTCTACGGATTCTAAATGAGAACAATTCTACGAATTCTATTGGGAACAATTCATGAAGAATTCGAGAAAAAAAAATCCAAACTGTTCACTGGATGGATTTTAACTTAAGCATGTCAGTGATACTCATAATAGAGTGGTCATTATGAAAGGCTGATAATGACTTCTGAAATTATCTTATTGTCTCGGGTTCTGCATTTTAAAATTCAACTATCTTTTTTGTATTCAATGTAAACATGCATGATTATATCTGGGGTTTTTATGTGTGTGCGTGTGTGTGTGTGTGTGTATACTTTATGTCATAAACATGCATATCTTGTTTGTAATTTATGAAATAAACATGTCTCGAGTACGACAGGTCATGAGTGCTATATTCGGCTATGAAACTGAACCGCAGACTTTTAACTTGCTTATCAACATGACCAAGCACTTGCAATTGGCATTTTAGAATTATAGTAAAGCCATGGTCAGATGAGTGTGAGAAAAATATATTCAAGAAGGTTTTTATTCCTGGCATACTATAACTTAGTAAACATTGTACTAAGATAAAAAGCCGAACCAATAAGTCAGTCTAGTAAGAAGCAAGGTATCTTATTCTCAGATCATATGCCGATCTGAAAATAAGACATAGTGCAATAAACAGTATATGTCTTCTTGTTATATGCAAGATGTTGTTGTATGCACAGCAACCAATATTAGAGTATATAGGGCTATATGGTATCATATAATCTACATTGAAGGTAAAGTACATTGAACTACGTGTGTAGATGAATAACAAGTAAAGACACATTTTCAAAAACAGTCGATTATGGTAGGTGCAAATAATGATTTTTACAAGACTTTACAAGAGGATCTATAATAGCACATAACTTTAATTACCTATAGGGTATAGTTCGTCTTCAACCTCTGATTTGTTTCTGTCTGCCTTTCCATGAAAAATTTAAAACACTTGAAAATCCCCCCTGACAACCGATCAGACAAACTTTTTTTAAGTTGACAAAAGGCATAGAACTACATTACATGATGCTTGATATCTAGACGATACATTTGTCTTTTCAGATACAACAGTCATATAAGAAAGGTAATGATTCTATGATGCTATATGGATACATTTAAATGTCCGTTTTCAAGAGATAAATTGTCAGCGTGTAATCCTTACAACGGCTTTCGTTTTTGCGATAGAAAACGGTCTTCCATTTATTATATTTCAGATTCTCATCAAGAATTATTATATTTTTCTCAACATCCAGATGAATTGTGTGATAGTGACAGTATTATGTCTGTCTTTACTTGTTCATGTTCTGTTTAGTACCCGCACGTGGTCGTGTCTCGGAGGGGGGATATGGTTTTATATAGTATCCGTCTGTCCGAAACACAAAACGCAGAAACCATTAAACTTTGACAAAACGCTTGCATACTTAGGAAGATTATTTTTATTCGTATTCTCTTAACCATACTATTTTGACAATTCTTACACGAGTTATCATGAAAGGATGACCATTTTTTTTTATTATAGTATTGTAACAATAACACTTGTGAGTGCAATTCCCATGAATCCATTTTACAGAAAGCTCGCATACACTATATGATTGCTGGCCATCAATATTAAGGTTTTTTTTATTCGACCTGTTTACGAGAGTAATGAGAGTTTTGGGGTATTGTAACGATGACATAAATTGTGAACGCCAATCTTCTGAATCTGTTTAAGAAAAGCAACTTTTACCATTTTTTTTAGTATTGCATGTGAAAGCAAATTCTCTAAGACCATTTGACAATTTGACAGAAAGCAGGCTCTCGTACTCCGTTAAATTGTCTAAAAATACTCCTTTTATGCATATTTTAACAAGGATAGGCAGTCTATTTTTAATATCTTTATACCGAGCGTTATCTAGGTGTAAAATGGTAAGAAATATAATACCTATCTATATTAAAATGAACATAGAGCATGACATGATTGAATTATAAGCATTCCTATTTATTTCTGGATCCCTTGTACAGAAAGCTCTCATACACTGCATGATTGTTGTCCATCTTCTTCTTCTTCCGAATACGGGAGTAGACTCCTAGGTAGGAGTGTAAAACTTCCCGGAACTTGTGTGCTATGTACATATGGACTTAATTTAGAAATAATATGACAAAGAAAAATCATTAACAATAACATATATACATTATGTACAGTGGCTTTGTAGTTTAATAAGTTGTTGTGGCTCCTTCAAATGTTAGAGTGGATATGCCACTTTTGAAGGATTCCAGGGTGTCAGACATACCTATTGCTTCAGGTAGTGAGTTCCAGTCCGAAATAGTGCGAGGATAAAAAGAAAATTTATAGAAATCTTTATTTGTTGATATTTGCCTAAATTTATGTTTCCCCCTAGTACGTCTATCAGATATTGTTAAATTGTCCTTGGAACTTCCACTAACCCCCAATTTATTTTATATAGCATAGTTAATCTAGCTTTTTTCCTTCTTATTTCTAAATTTTCCCATTCCAATGATTTAATTAAATTTGAAACTGCTCCAGGTGATCTGTCTTTATAATCATTGAAGACAAACCTGGCTGCCTTACGCTGTACCTGCTCAACCTGAGTGATGTGTTGCTTTTTGTACGGATCCCATACAGGGGAAGAGTATTCGACGACTGGACGGACAAGTGATGTGTACGTAAGGTTTTTTAAGTTCCTACGAAGAAAACCTAAGGTTTTATTTGCCTTACAGGTAATATTGTTTATATGTGTTCCCCAATCAAGATCATGGCTTATAGTTACGCCTAAATATTTACTATCTTTTACTGCTTCTAAAACATGATTGTGCAATATATAATCAAAAGTGGAAGGTTTACTTTTTTTAGAAATATGAATAACATAACACTTCTCAGGATTAAAATTCATTTGCCAGTCCTCTTCCCATTGTACTAAACTAGATAAATCTTTTTGAAGTAATTTGGCATCAGAACTATTATTAACATTTCTATACAATAAACAGTCATCTGCAAAAAGTCTTGCATTGCAAGTTACATGTTCGGGTAGGTCATTAATAAAGAGTAAAAATAATGTTGGGCCTAAAACTGTTCCCTGAGGGACACCAGAATCAACAGCTAATTTTGAAGATTTAACACCATTTAATAGTACCTGCTGTTGCCTGTCAGCTAAAAAGTCATTTATCCAATTTAAATTTTGATTCCTAATACCATAAAAGTTTAATTTCTGGGCTAATCTTTGTAATCATTGTACTTAATTATATTTTATAGCCATTTTACGGAAAATAGTTACAAGCGACAAATAAAATCAACGTGGAAAGGGGGTGACACGCTTTTGAGATGTTGGTTATCATTAGGTAAAACGAAAAATTACAACGGATTTCGGAAATGAGTAGCCTCGCCCCGGCAGTATTATCCCCTCAAACATGTTTTGTATAAAGGTGAACAGAATGAAAAAAAAAACGAATCCTACTGATTGTACTTTTTTATTTTATCGACACATATTTATTTTTCAAAAATATATTGTAAAACTAAACACATTTTATACGGTTCCACAATTTTTATACTTAAAGGACGAATTATTTATTGGGGCGAGTATGGGTCGAGAAATAAATAAAATATGTTTTGAGATTGTCCAGAAAGCGTTTCATTAACCCCGACTCCTTTTCCAAGATGGCTTCCAGAAAACACACGAGTTCTCCTGTACAATATGTTCAAATTGATGGTCTTGTACGTATTCTGATTAATAGATTTCAATAACTAGTGTATGCCCATTAAATATAGCTATTTAGCTTTTCAACAAATTTTGAATCTAGGCATCCTCTTATCTGGCAACGCAATTACGTTAGGCACATAATCGTTTGTTTTGCCACAAGAAATTTTTGGAACTATCAATAAAAGTCTGTAAATAATAAAGTCGACTATCAGAAGAGCTTCTCCTGTGGGTTTTCAAAGACTGCCATTTATATAATGAAACAAAATAAGCGAGGCTTCCCAGACTTTTCTCCTGTTTGGTAGCGAGTACAAATACATTTTGTATTTCCTACAAAAAGTCAATGTACATATATTGCTTAAATGTTTTTATCCTGCAATCTACACCAGGCACTTGAGCGTTAGTTGTTTAAATCCAAATCGTTGCATCTGATTTTTCAAAGAAATTAACATAGTTCATTTTATAGTTGAAACGTGGACCGTCAATAAGTACCCCAAAATGAACTGTTACGCAAAAGAAATGGCCATAATTCTGTATTCGTTTACATGGTGATGGATTAGTCCGCATGCTGTATATATGTAACACTCCCAAACGTGTCCTTCCCCCCAAACGTGTCCGATTCCCCCAAACGTGTCTATTCTCCCCAAACGTGTCCGTAATATCCAATATTCCCCAAACGTGTCTGATTTCATAACCCCAAACGTGTCCGATAATTGTTATTCGCCAAAACGTGTCCACTTTTAAACGCCAGAACGTCTCACGTCCTTTAGCGCTATTTAAATGTATGTCCTAAATGAAATCAATAACGTTTACGGCAATTCTATGATGGGGGCACAGGTGATGAAGTTGTCATTTATTAGCATTAGTAAGTTCAATATAAAAAAGAAGATGGAGTAGGATTGCCAATGAAACAACTCTCCACAAGAGACCAAATGACACAGAAATTAACAACTATAGGTCACCGTATTTTTAATGATTATCATAATTGTCGGTTTTTAATGATTATCATAATTGCCGGTTTTTAATGATTATCATAATTGCCGGTTTTTAATGATTATCATAATTGCAAATTTAATCTGTAACATATGAATTAACTTTTGACTGAAATTGCTTATTGTCCAGTTGCAAGTATTTCATACTCATTTGGAGCGAACATGCAAAAGATTCTAGAGTTAAATTAATCGTTTACTATGTAAATTATTTTGTACTATTAAACTCCGATGATGCCTTTTATATTAATCGGAATATTGCACGGCGGGCTTTCAGCAGAACTGACTTCCCGTTTGTCAACAGTTCTAATACGTTATAAGCTCTTCAAATCATAAACGGGTTATCTGGTTTTTTAATAATTGTTTAGGTTTTCAGCATCACTAAAGGCACACGATCAAGAACATAACGTCCAGTGCCAAATATTTCATGCATTATTTGAACGACATAATGTTAACAATACACATACTGTAGATAGGTTCTACAAGTGTATTATCATACCGGGAATTTAGGATTCGGCCAAAGTTTTTACGGTTATTCAGGATTTAACACTAGTTGGGATTTTCATGTAAAAAATTAAAGAGTGAGTAAAGACCAATTTTTTTATGACTTCAGTAAGAAACTACTTCAATCTCCGATATGTAATACGATGCCGTTTTAAATAATATGTGCGGAAATTTAAAAAAAAATGTTGCCTTCAAAAATACAACTTATGGCACCATGAAAGAGTGAAATGGTACAAAGGTTTTAATGCGCAGAGAAAGAGACATCTCCCTACACGAGGTATCTGATTTAATATCTACAATTTAGCTAAGCATGGCTGCTTACATTTACATCCAACATAGCCGAACGGAAAAGAAAATATGCTTGATATGGACACATTTGGGAGATTGGACACGTTTGGGTGTTTATTGAAAAATGGACACTTTTGGGCGTTTATATAAATGACAAGTTTTGGAGCCCTTTTACAACTAGACATGTTTTGCAGTTCAGTGACGTCGATGTGGACACGTTTGGGGGAATCGGACACGTTTGGGGGGAAGGACACGTTTCTGAGTGTTACTGTTTTTAATAACTACGTTTACCAACATATACTATAAGCAACTTTATGAGTGCCCTGTGTGTAAGGGTTGGGGTGCAAATAAATAAGTACGCTGTAGAAGCGAAGCTCCTGCTAGAGGAGGAAGATAAAGACTAGGTAACTAGTAACAAGGTAACTGCTTGCTCAAAATGAAAGACTTTATTTGTACATGTACAAATATTGTGTACCTGTTATTTGTACAATAGTTACAGTACACGCAGAGAGTTTATAATCATAAACTCCATACACCGCAATTATTCCTGGTGTGACACCAGGAAACTCCGATATCTCTCCCTAAATTCTCGGAGAAATTTGGGAGTATTTCCTGCGACTTCCGCGTAAGTCCGCTACCTTTTGTTTATTGGATTAGCGACATCTCTCCCAACACAGTGTCACACGGTGTCACACCGGGTAATTAATTGCCCTCATCCTTCTAATCTATGCCGGCACGCGACAGTCAGGGTATTGTGAAATTTCTTAAGCAATTAACAATCGTGTTTCCTGTCTACCTGAGCTGTCTACAAATGTATGCAATTTTATTATATATATAATCATGTTCGATGTCGAATTGCCTTTCAAAAACAAACAAGTGTTTTAAAATTAAAATGTTTTTTTATTTTCTTCTCTGTGATTGAATATTATTTCTAGTATATTTGGGGGGAAAACACTTTGATCTCAATATTTTGTTCTCTGTTTTCCCTTCTCACAGGTAAAATAATACGTTATATTTAGAATGGAAATGCTTGTTTAAAAATAAACGGAAACTATCGGCACTGAAAAAATGTGTTGGAATTTAAAAAAAAAAATAACTGTGTATTGCTCAGAAGTTTCATTATTGCCATGCATTTTTTTATGTCAACGATTTGAATGATTGATCTATGGCATTTCTATGTAGAACAGACTTGTACTGAATTTTGTCGACAACAGGAATACTTCCGTAGCTGAATCAAAATCATAATAAACGTGGTACCCTCGTGACATAGTTGTCATACGATTGTAAACACATGAATGGAAGTGTATTGTTGCATGTAAACTTTTTGTGTATTGCTGCGTGGTGAATTTTCCGATCTTAATGTTTGCACTATCTTTCCACCACGGGAAAGTTAGATACGTAACATACACATAACTCCATTCTTAACTAGTACGTCTGTACTGTGTTGAGAAAGAGACTCGTTGTTGGATAAGATCGGAACAATGCAATTTTTTTTTATGAAGTTTGAAGGTCTTGTGTTGGCTTGGAACTAATCTCGAGTGTTTCTTTTAAATTTTGGATTTTACATAGTCTCTTTCATGAGTGTTACAGAATTAAACATCCATGACCATGATGTTTATAACCTACATGTTACTTTCGTTGGTGGTTATTTGTCTCATTGGCAATCGTACCACATCTTCTTATTTTACTAGTGTTACTTTAGTGAGATAAAAAGTTTAAAGTTTACTGTTTATACCATATGAATATACCTATAATTTGTTCGAAAATGTACATTGATCAACAACTGCCTTTCAATTCATGAAGAAATAAAAGAATGGATCATTTGACATATTTATTTTTACTGACACATTGAAATATCTAATAACAAAAACAAATTATAAATAATGTCATATTCATAACAATCATGATTACATATTTCATGTGCATTTAATAAAATATAGTTTTCTAATTTCAGGATCATTAGCAAGCATATATACATGTGCAGTGTTTCTTAAGCCTTTATGGCTGGCTGAAAATATATGTATAGGCATACATATTGTATTTTATACCATATGTCAATTCAGTTTGCACTTTTAAATAAATCATTTTTTCATATACTGACTCCTTAAAACAAAAAAAGATTTAAAACCAATTACTAGATCAGCATGCATTTAACCTGAACCTATATCAATAAAGATCATGCAAATTGTTCATGAAGCTGATAGCACAAAAATCAAATAAATAAGTCATATATATACATGTATATACATTGAATAACAATAATAAATATATTATACATTGAAGGACTATATATATATAGTCTGATAATGTTCACTTAAGAAGTGATACTTTTAATGTTAATGACAGTAGATTGAAGTGAGTGCTCTATAACTGTTTTGCAGGTCTTCTTAAATACTCATTTACCCTTGGTACTATAGCGTCTTTCCACACTCTGGGGTCGGACAGAGAAGGATAGAAATGAAGAATATATCTTTGCATTATAGTTTTCCTGTCATGGGGCAGTTCGGACTTGTTGCATTTTCCTCCACCGTGATAAGAGTATTGCAGGCGGAGTTGCTCAGTGGTAAAAAGTTCTGGAAATAGACGATCTACAAGTTTTGTTGCAAAGTGGCCAGGACAGTTGCTGTGCTTTGATATGTAGTTGAGATCGTTCATGTTAATTCTGTGAACTTCAGGCACATCGTAGAAGGGGTATGTTTCTGAATTTGTTATCACTGGCTGGCATTGGTAGATGGAAGACTGATTTGTACTGGTAGTTGAATTGCCCTGTAGGAGTTGTATTGTTGTTGATAACATTGTCATGATAACTTGCTGGTTGTTTTTTATATCTGTCTGGTTTTTCTCTAGTGTGGAAAGTCTTTGGAAGATGCCATCTATTTTTCTGTCTGGAATAGGTCTGCGATGTAGTGGTCTCTCTGGAGTGTCGAAAAGAATTGGCGATGAACAAGTTGGTGTTGTAGGTTCAGGATAATTAAAGGTTTGCTGAAATACTGATGGGCTACTGGCTGACTGGATTATCGGAAAGTCTGTCATTTCAAATGGATTTGTTGTTGAAGCAGGACTAGATGTTGACTGGTTCAGTGGAGCGAAGGGATTTGATGAATGTGTAGGCTGGCTGGTATTAGAAAAGGGATTAAATGCTGATACAGATTGATGACTAGTTGATAAATGACTGTTGGTTACAAAGGGGTTTGATTGTTGACTAATCTGGCTGGTAGTAGTGAAGGGATTGGTGGTTTGCTGCTGGTCTAGGTGGCTGGTGGTTAACTGGCTGAATTGTACAAATGGGTTACTAGACCCTTCTGGCTGGCTAGTGATCAAAGTTGATGAGAGTTCAGATAGCTGTTCTGATGCATGTTGGTCTGTAGTTGTTGTAGCAGCTTGGTGTTGGACAGCTGATGCTGGTTGCTGACTACGTCTGATGACGGCTGCCTTTTTCTGAAATGAAGTTAAATGATATCTTATTAAAAAGACCTAGTCACAAATGGCTAGCCATACAAAGAACGTGCAGTAGCTAATATTTCATGCATTTAATAAATAAATATTGTTTTGTTAATAAATTTTATTTTATAAATATTTTTATTTTACTACCATGTAAATATCACTGATAAGGACATACACTGATTGCTTATGATGTGTTATTAATCAGGTAAATATTTATTAAAGATTTAAATATATTTTTTCTTATTAAAATTGGCTAACTCCAAACCAACTGATCACAAATAAGGTTAGTTATATAATATGTTCAGTAGCAAATATCTCATTCATGAACGGTTATTCATTTGTTTCAAACTACAAAAGTACATTTTTGTATAATTGTGAAGCCTGAACAAATAAATAGAAATCAGAAACATACACAGAAAAAATAAATAATTGGGAATTATCAAAAAATATTTTACTTTTAATTTTACAAAATTATTTAACACCCTACATTCATTATATTAATAAATAAATCATAATTATCTTTTATATCAGTTAAACAGGTAAATATTTGACACTTAAATTAGGAGTATCTATAAGGATAGGTAAAAGACGGGTATAATTCCTTAGACATATTTATTGCCAAGTTAACCAACTCCTGACATTATCGTGTATATTATGTTTATTTAAGAGGGGTCTATTGATTTCTTGACATTGAACGCGTTTTTATTATAAAAAGGGAAAAATGAACAACCAACTATTTCAGTCTGACAAAATGCCGAAAGTACAACACAGTACTAAACTCCGAATAGTTCAGCTCTGCAGAGAGGGGTGGAGACCGTACGCTATACGAAAACAACTAGTCGATGAGTGTCAAGTCCTTACAAAAAGTAGCATTCAATGCATCATCGATAAGTCTGGTCACTTCACGTCAATTAATACAATTATTGCAAATCCTGTGGTGTTCCAGAAAATCAATGACCGTGACATAACCACTATTGACAATGCTTTTTCCAACGACTGTAATTTGTCAGCCAGAGACATTCAGCGACTACTTTTTGAGAAAAACAATACCGAAGTATCGCTGTCTACTGTAAGAAAAGCTATAGACGCTGCCGGTTGGGTTTCGACAGCACCAAGATACTGCCAGCTGATAAGAGATGCCAACAAAGAAGCTCGGGTAAAATTTTGCCAAGACTTGATTCAAAGTAATGAGAATTTTCAAGATGTTATATTTAGCAACGAGACAACCCTTCAACTTCATGACAACAAAACAGGGGCTTACCGAAGGAAGGAGTCAGCAGCACCAACTAATTGCAGACCTAAACACCCACTCAAAGTACATGTCTGGGGAGGTATTAGTAAGAGGGGTGCAACACAGATTTTGATATTTGATGGCATAATGGATTCAGCATTTTTTGTACCAGAAATTTTGGAATCAACGTTGAAACCATTTATTGACTCTGTGTATGCGGATGGACATCGTTTTCAGCAAGATAATGACCCGAAGCACACATCAAAGTTAGCTAAAAACTTTATGCTTGAACACAATATCAATTGGTGGAAATGGCCATCGGAGTCACCAGACATGAACCCAATTGAAATGGTTTGGAACCAATTGAAAAGAAACGTGTCAAAAAGAAATCCAACAAATAAAGATGAGTTATGCAAATATATTGAAGAATTTTGGTTGAAAGAGATGACGCCAGACAACTGCACAAAGTACATTGATCACGTATATAAAGTTGCACCTGTCGTCATTTCAGTTGGAGGCAAAGCAACAGCTGACATTCCAGGAAGATTGTTTAAAGAAAGTTCTTTGGGAAAAGGTATGCAGTACTTCCATGACCAGTTGTGCGCACCCCAGTTCAGAGAGAGACTTACATAAATGATGAGCGATCGATGAAACTTTGAGAAGACAATTCAATTTAAACAGCCCTTTTAAGGGCTACCAATATAATTCAAAAAGAATCTGAAATTGTTGTTTATCTAATAAAATAGCTTTCTATCCCCTTTATCAATTATAGACACGTAATGTATTCATATGCCTATCATGTAGCTCCAAATATTCTCAAGTATCCTAGTCTTTTATGAAAGGCTTTTTTTCGGAGTTGGGTGAAAAAGGGGGGCAGTTATTTCAAGGACACCCCTCCCCCAAAACACTCACGAAATGAATTCAAAAGAATTATTAAATTAGCTTACCTTCATAACAGCTTTTTTAACTGCAGTTGCAGTTTTCTGTCTTTTGGCTGGTTGGGTTGGAGTAGTGGCAACCTGTATGTTGTCTTGAATTGGAACCACAGGGTCAGTCAAAGTAGGCACTGTAGTTTCCACCTCTGTTGGGGTAGTTGGTGGGGTCAATTCTATCTCTTTTCTTCTAGCAGTTCTTGCATCTCATCCTCTATGCCTGCACCAAGGATTGTGGCTTTAGCTATATCAGAAGAACGGATTCCATGTTTCACGTCATAACATGCACCAATTTCAATCTAAATAAATAAAACAATCTGTAAGCATATTTTAAATGTGAAGTTTTTTAATTCATAATGTTCAGTGGCGAATATTTAACGCTAAGTTGATACTTAACTGATCAACTTTGAATGTTTTATACAAAAATATTTTAATTTATATGTCTTGACAAGTAAAATTTTTCATTTAATATTCATTCTGCAATTTATTTTTAATCAACAATTTTGTCGTTTATATCGTATAAGAGGAAAATATTAAAGTCGAATAAATGAGGGTCGGGATGGGTTTTGTTGGATAGAGAATAATGGCCAAATGATATATCAAATAGAGAATATTGAAATTAAATAACCCCATCAAAAGTTTCATTAAACACTTAATATAACAATGTATAAACACTATATATTTATATACGAAATTGCCTCATAAAATTTCATAAAATCCATTTTTTTATTCTATAATTATTTCACGGGAACTGGTGTCATAAAATTTAAAAAAAAAATTTATTCTAGAAATGTTATTTTCAAAATGCTTCATTAAAAATCTTTCTTTCTATTAGAAATATAAAGCTTGATTGTTTGGAAACAATGTAATTATATGAGGGCACAAGTAAATGATTGAGTAATAAAAGTGACAGTTCGTTCTTGCCGGATCATTGGACACATTGTTCAACGAATAAAATTCTGTTTTGTCCGATTACAAAGTATACGTACATTTTAAAACAATTTCTTTTTTAAAAGCTAGGCTTTTGTTAGTACGGTACTCATTGTGGATTTACAACTATTTTACATTATAGTAGAGTTATATCCCCTTAAAAGACACCTTTTTTTCAAAATTCAATTTTGGGAACGATTTAACATAAAAAAATTACAAATTTTCGATGTATATTGTTAGAGAAAGACACGAGAATTAATTAAATTATGTATTCCCTAAATAATTTCTAAAATTATTTTCTCATTGAAAAAGAATAATTACATTAAATACCAATTGTGAACAAGTTTATAATTTTGTATATATTGTTGTCGTTCCCTATTACCTTGTTTAATGAACGCTTTTCAGTAATTTTATAATCAAACATTATTTAAAACTAAATTACTTACTGATAGCGATATTAATAGCAATTAAATAATCAACTTAAACATTACAAGACAACATTATAAAATTAATTGTAACAATTTTAATTTCATCCATTACACTGTGCTTAATTTCGTAGTGTTAAATATAAAAATGCGAATTGTACACTTCCTCCAAATAATCCATATTTTATTAATACTACATTGTATTTAACCTTACCATGTTTAATATTCGAGGTACACATCATGCATTTTTCATGATCACATTAAGAAAACAAAGACATGTCCCGTTATTTGACAAATCGTGGCTTAAAAAGTACTGTGATAGATAGTTACGTTAGTTTATTCTCATAAAACCATGCAGGTACAAAGGTTATATAGAGAGGTTGCATAAAATTTGGAAAACCAAAGTTATATTTATTAGGTGTAATTGTTCATCTCAAGTACATAAAAAGTAGCGACTTTTCTATTTGAAGGCCGTACGGCGACATAAATTCACGTAATCGGAACTCTGCTGAATAGTTGTCCCATTGCAAATCATACCACATCTATTTTTTTCATAAACCAAGGGAAACTCGGAAATTTATGAGATAATCAAATCTTAATACATGTACACCAATTTTTTCTATCTAAATATTTTTATATTAGTAAAAATTATATTACCTCCCCAATGTGTTTGATGAATCCTCTGGAGCGAACCTGCATAGTCTGGTCAATATGATATTGCACAAGAAAGTGAGTATGTTCTCTATTAAGTAAGGTACGTAACGACATGTTGAAACTTTGCAAAATAAATTAAGAATGAGAAAAATCACTTGTTGATCAAATTTATTAACTTTGTGGTATGGCTTGGGCCAGTAACCGTAAAAACAACAAATTCTTTGAAGCCAGTTGATTTTCCATTGTGAACAATTAATGCACCTGGTATAGCTTTTTGAGTAAATTCCTAATGTTTCTAATTAGGGTGAAAATGTCTTTGTCAAAAGAATGTTCTCTAAACAACAGGGCGACATATATCCTATTGTTTACTTGACCATTTATTCAAGAACACAAATATGACATCGTTTGAAAAAAATAAAATTTCTCCCGACAATTATATATTGAAAATACAAATCTTTTATCGGAAATTAGACATTTCCCATATTGAAATCTTTATATATTCATCTCATTGTAAAATTTTCAGTATCCCGAATTTAACAATACAATACATGAATGAATGACATCCGATCTCCCGAAAAAAAATCCCATATTAATATAACATGTATAAAAAGGAATCTTGTTCACTTTCATAATTTTGAACACAACGTATTGTGATCTTATAATACTAGACTATAATAGGAATACAAAATAACAAGTTTATTCAATATTTTTATTTATTTGAATGTCTATGAAAATGACAAAAACATGGAGCAAAAACATGATTATAATTATCTTTTTTTCTGAATGACGATGTCACTTCTTATCTGTAAATAGAAAGGAAAGAAAACATTTTTATTATTCTTAAATACAGTACTGTTAAAACAAACAGGTGTAATCAAGATCGATTTAATGTCCATAGGTAAATAACCAGACTAATCCGATTATGTAGTCACGCGTCGTTAATTTTTTTATTACCTCTGATGGGCAATAAATCAATTAACAGCCACACGTGTTGGGAGAGAATCTTTGGAGGAAATTGGGAGTACAATCCGTGATTCGCGGTGTGACACCGCTACACCCCGAAATCGGTGGTAAGAGTTCGCGATTATAAACTCTCTGCGTGTACTGTAGCTGATTGCAGGATAAATTTTATTTACTTGTATAAGTAAAATATTTTATTGGCTTCAGGGTCCGACACTTACGGTTGTCCGATTGCCTGGGGCAAGTTAATGCCGTATTCGGACAAGTAAAAACATCATCATGGTTGTCTGATCGGGCAAGTGAAAAAAAAGTGTTATATGATTAAAATTTCACAAAATCAATAGTGTGTTGTTTTGTCCAAAGATTACTCAGTGATAACACCGCACGGTCGAGTAAAGTGGTCTTAAATCCCCTTCAATGCGTATATTTCGTCAATTGGTTGGAATGAATTCCCCATTTTACCAAAAAAAGATCACATTTAAAAATATTGGCCAATCAGGCAGCCGCGGCGTTGCTTCGTCATTATCGTTATCAATCGGGACACCACTCAGGCGTTTCCGACGCACTTGTTATTCCCACCAACCAACCGAAAGCGGAGGTCTATTTTCCTTGTTCTAACTTTAGAATTTGACATTGGATGTGTATTTCCTTAAGATGGAAAAACGTAAAAGCTTGAAAGAGAAAATGAAATTAAACTTTAACAAATTTGTCAGTTGTCAGTTTATCAAGAAGGGTTTTTTGAAACGGCATTTCTTAGATAAATTATTATGAAATAAGTATCTCTATGTAAATGATCCAATTCCCGTATATTCGTCGATCTTTTCCCTCCCTCCTCGGCTCATATATGCCTCATAGTATCTCAGTGGTCAAGTCTAGTTGCTGCCATCATGGCACAACAATCAACCCTGGCAAGTTTTTTCAGTGGAATTCCTCAAACATGATAACTATATTTTATCTGCATGTACTACATTACAACCACAAAAATAGCATGTAAAAGTTTGGGCATGTAGATTTCACTTTCGGACAAGTAAAAGTAATAGGGCACTTGCCCAACTGGACACAGGTTATGTTCTTCTCATATATTTTATGACGGTATAATACTAAACCCCTAACAGGAGGGATTGTGCCTGATATTCATATGATGAAGACATAATCTTTCAATCAGTTTAATTGAGGTCTGGAGCTGGCATGTCAGTAACTGCTAGTAGTCTGTTGTTATTTATGTATTATTGTCATTATGTTTATTTTCTTTTGTTTCCTATTTTGACATCGAACTCAGACTTCTCTTAAACTGAGTTTTACTGTGCGTACTGTTGTACGTTTGTTATGCCCCCGCCGTAGCGGTGGGGGCATTAAGTTTTACCCTTGTCCGTCTGTACGTACGTACGTCCGTACGTCCCAAAATTGGTTTCCGTTCTCTAACTTGAGTTTGCCTCAACCAAATGTTATGAAACTTATACACAATGCTTATTGCCACAAAACACAGATCAAGTTTGAATTTTGGTGGCGTCACTTTAACTGTTCTAGAGTTATGCCCCTTTATAAATGGAAAAATTGCAAAATTTTTAGTTTCCGTTCTCTAACTTAAGTTTGCCTCAACCAAATGTTATGAAACTTATACACAAGGCTTATTGCCACAAAACACAGATCAAGTTTGAATTTTGGTGGCGTCACTTTAACCATTCTAGAGTTATGCCCCTTTATAAATGGAAAAATTGCAAAATTTTTAGTTTCCGTTCTCTAACTTAAGTTTGCCTCAACCAAATGTTATGAAACTTATACACAAGGCTTATTACCACAAAACACAGATCAAATTTGAATTTTGGTGGCGTCACTTTAACTGTTCTAGAGTTATGCCCCTTTATAAATGGAAAAATTGCAAAATTTTTAGTTTCCGTCCTCTAACTTAAGTTTGCCTCAACCAAATGTTATGAAACTTATATACAAGCTTATTATCACAAAACACAGATCAAGTTTGAATTTTGGTGGCGTCACTTCAACCGTTCTAGAGTTATGCCCCTTTATAAATGGAAAAATTGCAAAATTTTTAGTTTCTGTTCTCTAACTTAAGTTTGCCTCAACCAAATGTTATGAAACTTATACACAATGCTTATTACCACAAAACACAGATCAAGTTTGAATTTTGGCGGCGTCACTTTAACCGTTCTAGAGTTATGCCCCTTTATAAATGGAAAAAATTGCAAAATTTTTATTTTCTTCTAAATATCAAGTTATTTTTAAAATTGGAGTTATCTTCCTTTGTCCATGATTATAGTTGAATCAACTACAATCAATGCTTTATACAATGAAATGTTTAATTTTGACTTCCACTGATAAAACACAGATCAAGTTGAATTTGGGAAGTGTCACTTTAACCATTATTGAGTTATGCCCCTTTATAAATAGAAAAATTGCTG